AGACCATAGAAGAGTAAAGACCATAGAAGAGTAAAGACCATAGAAGAGTAAAGACCATAAAAGGGTTTTCCAGGAGACCGCCACAGGATGAATGTTTTACGGACAATAAAACAAAGGAGACTTTCATGGTGGAGAGATTCTTCAAGTCGAGTAAGTATGATATTAGGATGTAAAGAAAACTGCATACGAGGCAGGACACGACAAATCTATTACGGTCAAAAACGTACCTGCGTTGACATCGGTGAATCGGGCAGGACCGTATGGTTCCCAGCTGAATACCTACAGATCCTCCCATATCAGCAGTTGAAGCAATTGTTGCCTGCTGATCTCACCGATAGTATGATCACCCTTGCTTGTCGCAGTCCAGACCAGAATCGATCATGCATTGTCTTCGAAGGGTTGCCTGCACTAGGCTTGCCGCTGCCTGATATTCGGAATGGAACGGATATTGTCTTCGTAAGTAGCTATGACACCGAAGGTGATATTATCTAACAATTTTATAAGGCTCGGGATGCTCTCAGGATTTGCCCGCGTTTCATGACTGTACCTAATAGGAAGGTAAACGCGCCATAGGTACGATACCGTAATAGATGGTGCGAACCGTCGAAACCATCCAAAGCTCGTCCAGATTCTATAATCTCGGTTGGGCGAAACGCACAGTGGAATCTCCTCGATTTACGCCTGTATGTTACAAGTGGGAACAAAGAGATCAGGATACACGTGCTATACGGTCCGCAACTTCGTAACAGGAACTGGCATCAATACCTGTACGACCCTTTGAAACTGTACGGTATCCCTGTGGCGCAAAATGTTACTGAAACTCCTCTCTAAATAATAAACGAAAATGAACTCGATCGCGGATTTGAGACAGCCCTAATGAACAAGGCGAACCTTGTTATTTTGATTATGAATCGGAAGAAGATTGCTGAGCATGCGTTGTTTAAACGTATTGCGGATCGCAAATATGGTTTGCATTCTCTCTGTATCACGGAACAGACCATCAAAAAAGCATTTGATATGAATAAATTCCAGGCGTTCATGGGCGATATTGCGTTGAAAATCAATTTGAAGAGTGGAGGGATCAATCATGCAGTTGAGAATCTGACCTTCGAGAACATCCTCGTCATTGGAGCAGACGTTACTCATCCGGGTCCTGCAAGTGTGAAAGGTACCCTATCAGTTACGGCGATGGTTGGTAATGTTGATCGTTACGGTGGCAGATTTTTAGGATCTTTAAGTCTTCAACAGGAATCGAGACAGGAGGTAAGCTAAAACATAGCTATATGCGGCACCAACAGAACTGACATACCATAGATGATCTTAAATTTCGAGAGCCTTGTTCCTAAGCGGATTGAGCAGTTCTGCTTACTCAACAATAAATGGCCCAAAAGCGTCATCTACTATAGGGATGGAGTCAGTGAGAGCCAATACACTGCAGTCCGAGAAGTCGAGGTATCGAAGATCCGACCAGCAGCCGAAAGAGTATGGAAAAAGCATCACACGCAGGCCAAATGCCCCAGAGTCGAGATCGCTGCAATAGTGGCAACGAAGCGGCACCATGTCCGCTTCTATCCCATCGTGAACGACAATCAGAAAAAGCCTATCATCGCAAACAGCAGACATCAACCTGCGTGGGGAAAGCAGAGAAACTGTCCACCAGGAACGCTCGTGAAATCAGCGTCACATCACCCTATTACTTAGATTTTTACCTCCAAAGCCACTATGGCCTTAGAGCTGGGTCCGACGGTGAGACGAGGTCCACGACGAGACCAACTCATTATTTTGTGCTCCAGAACGAGATTCGGGGATCCGCAGCCGACTTGCAGGACTTTGTAAGCCCATACTGGTTATTCCCTTTACTGACATGATACTTCCGTCCCCGTACAGGGCTAATGTATCCTAGAGTCACAAGCTCTGCCACACCTACGTCCGAGCAACGCTTGCTGTATCCTACGCACCCCCTGCGTACTACGCTGATCGCCTCTGCGAGCGCGGACGTCAGTACTTGCGAAAGTGGTTCGCGCCTCCCAAAAACGACATGACCGCTCGTCCGAATCCGAGGTCTGTCAAAGACGTTCCTGAGGATCAGGTCGCGATGGAGATGAGGCGGGATTGGAACGAGTTTGCGAATCATCCTAATCGTAGGTAAGAGCGCATGGACTTGCAGGAAACCATGTACTGGATGTAATCTACTGCTTCTAGGTCGTCGCTGTTCGTTCGAGGTAGGGTGCGTTTCCTAGTTGTGTAGAGAAGAAATTTATGCCTGTATGGAGTTGGAACAGTGTGGTATATGATGGAGCTTGAAGTTGTCCACTTGGACTTTTGTAGACAGTAACAGTATTAAAGATGCTATGGTGTACGTAAAGTCGCACTTCCATCCGTAAGCATGTTCATTAAGTATGCTTGAAGTGATATGGCAAAGCAGTAAAAATAGTCCTGGAAGTTCATCAACCATCCGAGATCGCAAAATAAGGGCAACTTTCCACCCAACCGATCGTCAAGTTCTCACGCCTGCACCCACCCGTAAGGTATCCTCAAAGAGAACATGACACTTCAAACCATGCATGCAAAGATATAACAAAAAGTAATCCGCAAAAGTGAAATCACTGCGATGCACTCCGCGCGAGACTCGAACTCGCAGCCTCCAGATTAGAAGTCTGGCGCGCTACCATTGCGCCAGCGGAGCATTTAAACCTTGGAAACCGTAGGTTTCATTCATTACCAGTAATTTCTGAAGCCCGATAAGGTATTGCCGCGGTCCGTGGGTACCCCGTCTGATGACTGGCGCAATGGGAAGGGGCTAATTGAGGCTGGGGTACGTTGCATGTCAGGGTGCTGTTCGAGTGGCAGGAAGGGCATTTACGTAGCAGCAGGACAAACTACGAATGATAGAACACGGTCATACTCCATACTTCACCGGTCTGTTACAGTACCAATTGGATTGCATCATTGTTGCCATGTGTTCATATACCTTTGGCGGTCTTTGCAGCAGTTGCTTATGTGAATGGGTCACCAGGTAAGAAGATAGGTTTACGTCATAGCAGGTTATGTGGGCTTTTATCTTACAACTATCGAGTGTAAGAGAATTGGATTGGAAGACCCCATCGCACACTCCATTTAGCCCATAAAACGGGAATCGCATTGGTTGGCTGCGGTTTGCGAACATTATTCGTCCTTAGATGCTTTCATAGAGACCAGAGAGCTCGTTAAGTGGGAGTCCGCGTCACGATCTTGATAATAACTTTCTCATATTGAGGCAATAAGCCATAGTATTGTAGGCACAGTACAAGTATATACGATCTAGCTACATTGTCTCAAATAAAAAGCCCATCTTAGAGTATCGCTGAATTATAGACTATACTCTTCCCCTCTAGCTTACGGGAGGGAGATATATGAAGCTCTCGCTACAAAAAGACATACGTTAGATACGAGGTGAGCTGAGGGTGACGTGGTTGTAAGCGCATCGTGTCGGCACTTGTCGGACCTGACGTGACCAGGCTCTATGTGTACGATAGTCTATTATCCAATGATCTAGAAAAGGAAATGTGCAAAACGCGCGATAGCAGAATCCAACAGACAATTACGAGATCCAAATATCCACTTGTTGCCTAAGGAGGCGGTATCCATACATGGCCGACTTATACTCTCAAACACAACCAGCGTATGTTGAAAGATAAATATACACCTATTGGTACCAATCTATAATATCTAAGCATCGCTCCACAACGAACTATAAGATCTACCCCTCGAATTGGACAGGAGCGAGGGAGGAACGGCCCTTATTATCAGGTATCCATGGTTTGAAGGGTCCTGAAGGGTTTTTTTTGGGTTTTTTTTCCTAGTGTATATCCATCTCCGGTTGCGGTCTACGTCCACTCCGGAGTTGGGATGGTTCCCTCTAATTGGATGGGTCAGACGACAAGATCTGGCCTGACAAGTGATAGTCCACGTGAACACAGTTTGGATCCAGTGTCCAGGTTGTTCCAAGGCATCTAGTCTAAGTATTCAATGTCCTTATGGAGGATTAGTAAGGAAAAGGACTGAGGCGTGAAAGTCTAATCATAAGACATACCAACTAAAAATGTAATATTCTGTTCAACCCATGCCGGCAAGCTTCTCAGCAACACCTTGGAGGGCCGCAAGTTCACTGGCGAGATCGAAATTTGACATGTCCTTGGGACCTTGAAGGCTGGATAAGTGTTGCTGTAGGCTGTCTCGCCTCTGGTTCCATTCTTCATAAAGTCGACGACGCTCCTGTGCTTGAGAAGGTGGAGGAGCCTGAGGAGGTCGCATTATTGATGTCTGACGAACAGACACTTTACGTGGGCGTTGCTCCACACTTTCTTCAGTAGCGACGGACTTTCTCTTCCTGCCTGTAGGACGCTTTGGTGCCACACTAATGGGCAATGCTGGGGATACATCATCGCTTGGCGTCGTAGGACCGTTGTAGTCGTGCACTCGCTTCATATGATCGAAGAGATTGTACCGACGGGGGAACCCATTTCCTTGAATAGCTCGGTCGCAGTCCGCATATAGACAAAGATGTGGTTTAGAGCCATGGCCATGCATGCCATGTGCCTCGCGTTCATGGCGCAATAGACAAGCAGTGGACGAGAACTGAACGTCAACACAATCCGTGACCTTACAACGAAAAGGTTTTAAGTGAGAATCAACATATTTGCTAGGCAATGTTAGAAACTACCCCGGGGAAGGTGCAATAGAACGCTTACTCGTAATTGCATTTCAGTTTTGTTGGCTTATGACCGCATCCAGCCTGGCCTTCATATGGGCAATGGTAAAGCTCATCAGCCTTCGTTGAGGCTTGATAGAGAGGATGTTGGCGAGCGAGGCGAATTTCAACCTCCTCGCTAGAGGGACTGACGATATTGCCCCTCGGTGTCTCGTAATTGTCATCCTCTATATCGTCAGATTCCACACGGATAGTTTGTAAAGGGGATTGCGTAGTAGTTTCCCCTCTGAAATGACAGTTAGCATGTATATTATTTTCAGAAGGTAAAATCTGAAGGTAAATGCGACTTACTCGACAACGTCAAAAAATGCTTGCGATTGTGCATGGTTATCCCGATTAAGACGACCACCTTGTCGCTGGCTACCCATAGTGGACGAAGCAGGTGACAACATCACACTGTCGATGGTTGGAGTAGCAAGTGCAATACTTGCTTGGGATGATTTGCGAGAAAACTGAGGATGCGTCTCGGACTTGCTAACTGTCGCGGAGCTGGATCGACGAAGGGGTGAGGGTAAGGACACAGACGATAAGTTGGTAGTCAGGGGAAGTCTTGGCCTTTTCTGTTCATTAGGAAACTGACTAAAGGATACTTGCCTTGAAGTATCATCGCTATGGTATTGTGGATATGGTTGAAAGAACGTTGGATTATCTCCGTGTCGCGCCGAGAAATCTTGTGGTTGTGACATGAAAGCAGTAGCGCCGGTTGAACCGACAGCGAACGGACTACTGTATTTTTGCAAGTCAGAAGCTGACCATAGGGTTTCATCCAGTCCCAATTCATTCGATTCTGGATAGAATCGGGTGTGTGAAAAAGTTTGTCTGGTATACTGCTCCTGATTGAAGTTAGTGGTATTGGAGACCTTGAATGCCGGATCTAGGTCATATTCCTGGGCAGCTGAAGGTAACATTGCGGTCAAGTGAGCCTGTTGTGGGTACTTTCCCTGGCTCTCCGCACTTAAGCTTGGAGAATAAGTAGATTGTGCCTGGAAATTGTCCGTCATGTTTGGCCTAGGTTCCTGGGTGAACTGGTAGGGGATATTGGCCTGAGCACCAGCAGCCCTACGGTTGGTATCAGGCTGACTCATGTATGTGCTGTCGTCCAATGAAGTTAAAGATTCTTCGTCCTCCTTGAACATGGATGGGTCAAGGAACTGATTTCCTGGCATATCTGGAAGATCCTCCGGGAAAAGAGAAAAGAGTTCACTAGGGGGAAACTGGAGTCCGGAAACACTCTGGGTCCACAGATCGATGTCCAGTTGAGGTTTTGAAAAAGAAATAGTGCCAGCTGGGTCTGGAGAGAACTCGCTTGAAAACGAGACTGGGTCAGTACGTGAATAAATGCAAAAGAAAACATAATGAGAAATGTTGAAGAGTTATCAACTGTAAGGAAAGTGAAGAGAATGCCATTATTAGTATCGCAGCTCAGGAAGCCGGTCCCGGATATCTTCCTCTACTCAGAATGAATCAGTATATGTTATTATGTGTGTGTACTGGGTGGCACGTACAGGTCAAGGTAGTGCTCGGAACTATGGTATTCCTGATGAAGTTAGATGCCTCCAGTTGGGTAAAAACAAGAATAGAATCCACGAGAATACGAAATCCAATTCCGGATATGCCTTAGAGTCCAATAAGTTTCCAAAGGCAAACCATTTGGCCGCGAACAAGGAGCGAAAAGATTGTTGTGTTGACTGCGATCCAACGTATGAAACGCAGTGTATACCTTCAAGCACAAACGACTGGATTGCTTTACCAGGACATTAACAATTAGTCGACGCCCATATAGCATTATCAAGTTACATCAATACGTGGAGTACGTACTAGTAAGGCCTGGTAGCCTGACCAAATGATCCACCCGGTATCTAATAAACAGACGGGATGAGCCGATGGAACGGAGCACCAAACGGAGTCCACAATATCAGTTCAAGGAAACTCAGAGAAGACCAAGCAAATCGGAGAGTACGACCTTGAGGTGACTCCTTCAGACTAGACCATGGAAGCTCGTTCAAAACTAGGAATCAGTGTCCAATGGACTAAAATAAGAACGAATTTCCAAGGAAAAGTGGTCCGGGAATCCGTATCCATATCCAGCGGGAAAAGGGTTGTCCACACAGTAAATCCCAATGGTAATCTGTCCAGAGTGCTTGTTTGAGAAATCCATGGAAAATTGTGATCATACCCGCGAATGTGACCGGTGAAATTGAGCTGGAGAGTATCGCAGCCCAAATGGACCGGGCGATTCATTCTCTGCGACCAAAAACGGTCTCATAATCAGAATGGTTCGAGACCCATTTCTTAACGCTCTTGCGTGTTGTCTACTTCCGGAAGAGTGGATGCCATAATGTGATAACCCGTGCAGCACCTCAGGTAAAACCTGGGCCGCGTGGGATGATTTAGCTTACAGTTGTTTCGGGGGAGCTTACCTGTCAAAAATAGTCCGCGAAACCCCGGAATATCCAGTGGAGGGTATGAAGATCATCCTATAGATTTGGAACCGTATACAGGGCCAATACTCCAGGATCAATGGCCAGAACGTGGTCCAGAAATGAATCAATGCCTCCTGAGCGGAACCTGTATGGCTTTGAAAAAACAAATGAAAACAGAGAGACGATAAGATTCGGAAATACATAAATATAAGATTGTAGAGAGTAAGGAAATAAAAAGCAAAAACGCGCAAAACGACCAGTGGGTAGGTAGTACCTGGTATGGGCTCCTCTGTCGCGGCTGCGATTTTTCATCCTGAGCAAGCAATTGGCGCTCTTTACCGATAATCCAAGTCCGCACGTAGAGTGCCGACCTTTGACTCTTGGAATTTGGGGGGGAAAGATTGGTCGAAATTTGAGAATGTTGTTATGAGTCGATGTTTGTGATTTTGAGAAAAGAAGGGAGGAAAGGTCGGGCGGCGGGGGATGCGCTGAAGTAAAATAGGATGGGAGCGG